GAGAAAGCTATACTTGAGGATTGATTTTAAAACGAAAGTTCTTACCTTTAGTTTCTATTTCCCACAAAAGTACTCCAAAGGACCAACTGTAATGAAAAGTGAGATTATTTACGCTGTGAGTATAGCTGTTTTTAATTTAAATTTTAGTTTCTTGGGACATGCCCTATGATAGTTTATAAATTCGATCCTTACACATCAGTCTCTAAAGAGAATTTTCGCTGCTCCAGGGACTCAATTGCCATCCATTTTACTGGAAGTTTTCCCTAAAATCGCATAATAAAAATTGTACATCATTAAACGTTTCAATCCCTTAGGAAGCGTAAGAAGTGTGCAGCAAGCTTTCAGCAAATCTTTGAATAGGTATGCAAAAGCTTGAATAATCACAATGTCTCAAAAATCCATTGTGTATCATTCACAGCTCTTGAAGTGGACATGAATGTAAGTAATATGCGGAATTTCCGCGAGGATATACCATAGTGTTCTATTGATCTTGTCAAATCCTTAAAATAACTTACAGGTTCTATTTCATATTACGTCTAAATCAGAGTATAGAAAAACGAAAATGAACCCCTTTTCGATATGTGAATTTCGAAATATCAAGTTAACTATATATGACGCTATAAAGGCAGAAATTAAGGGGCAGATCATTCAACACTCCAAATTACTTTTATTTATTGCAAAGATCCAACAAGAAATTTCGTCTTGGTGTAATTTGTCGCCCCTTTGTCCCCTTTCGCCAAAAGACTAATTGTAAACCCCCTAATAAACCMGGCAAGAGATTGACCATAATCATTGCATGGATTAAGATTATTATCAGGAACGATACGGATAACGTAAACAAAATCTGGTCTTGATTAATTTTAGGTAACAKTACTTACACTAGTAGTCTTCTCGTACTCTCCCGTTTCGTAGATGTCACGTGACAACCCAAAGTCAGCTACCTTGGCAACAAATCTATCRCCAAGTAAAACGTTCCTCGCTGCTAAATCTCTATGAACGCACTGTAAATATAGAGAAATTGATGTTCAAAAAAAACATTGCGCATAGTTTTGGTTTATATTTCTACTTATTGACCTATTCTTATCAGCCAATCAGCTGGCGATGAGTTACACAAACTGTGTGGTAATTCTATATTTGAAGTAAGTSTGCCAATGTAAATCATTGATGGAATGTTAGAAAAGTTAGTTTACCCTTTTGCTGGCTAAAAAAGCCATTCCTCTAGCTACACCATGAGCAAGCTTTAACCGATTCATATAATGGAGTTCAAATTCAGGATTCTCTGTTGGATTCTCTCGMTGTTCCTTCAAGTAGCTAATTAACGAGCCATGTTGCGCAAATTCCACTAACAGATACAGTTGATCTGAGTAAGAAAATAAGAGTAAATTGACGGTTACTTTTTCCATTAGATGCACAACATTTTGAATAAAGACCTACGTTGGTCCAAGAACCTTTGTATACTATTCTCACACTCGGAATATCGTCATCTTGGGATGTGAATCACCGAAGATCGCATTTTTGGATTTCAATTAAGATTTTCAATTAAAATGCTTTTGCACMTTTTGTGGATTTTCAGTTTTGCGAGGTCTAATCTAGGCCTGTTGAAAAGATTTTAGACCAAATTAATCAGAAAGTAGCTTTTAATGACAGATATTCTTTCAATTCAAACTAAACTCAGCAAAGGCTCTTGGATGCAAGAGGGTCTTTAAGCAATATTAAAGGGCAGTTATGAAAAACCAAGTAAAGTGAAAGATCTTAATCGAATAGATAATGGTAAATGACTGACTATTAAAAAATAAGCGTTAACTGATTTGCTTGAGCAAAAATATTGAAACCTACCTCTGCCTTTTCTCTTGCCAGGTTCTTCGCAGGCACCTATAACGTTGACAAGGTTCTTATGACGTCCAAKGTTSACCATGATATCTAGCTCCTGGTATAAATCACGTACGTCTTCATCACTAGCTGTTTCTGTCAGGAAAATTATATATTGAAACAAATTTACGACTTAAAAAAAGACAGTATTTATCATTGTCAGCACACTTATAGCTAGTTCAGTCCCAAACCACAAACTCTTTGTTGAATGCAGTTTAGCTAAACAGAAAGCCAACAGAATATAAGAGATGAAGTGAGATATATATGCACGTTTTGAAGGAATATGTCCACTACAGCAATAATTCTACCCGATTTCTATGTGTATAAGTTTATTAATACCTTTATATGTTTTCACGGCACAGTCGATAAATTCGTTGTTGTCATTCAGCAGTTGTCCTCTATAAACGACACCAAACTGCCCCGACCCAACCTCGTACAGCAAAGCAAATCTTTCTCTGGAGAAAACTGTGCATTTTTCAGATATGGTAAACGAGTTGCCRAGGTTGAAATAGGATTTGGGATATGATTCCTTCATCTGAAGTCGTCAGAGGAAAAAAAGTAGACTTGCTGTTAAAAGAAATGCTTAAAATCTAAAATTACTTAAAAGTATCAAAATATCAATATTATGATATACGGTAATGTAAAACAATATGCATAGATTACGACTTGGAAAGCGGTGCCTGAGAAGAGCAAGGGGAAGACCAAAGACTACTTGGAGAAGATTCTGAAAGAAAGGGACAACGTAGGATGGAATTCTTGCAAAGAAACCAAAATGACAGCAAGGGATAGAGATGGCTGGAAAGGAGGCCTTGTGCGCTTACTGTCGCGAAGAGACATGACGATGATGATAACAATTTCAAGTATACATAAAATATATTCATCATATAGTTATCTATGAAACACCTCTGTTTCTCCATTTCGTAAAATTGATATTTTCACTAGTGAGAATGACATGTTATTTTCACTAGTGGAAATAAAACATTCGAGGTTTCTCTATATAAATCTAAAAATCTCATTATTTGCTTTCATATAAAATTATATGATAATTAATATATTGCATGTTCGCTTGGGGATAGGGTTTTTATCTTCTCGTGTTGAAAATCAACACTCGAAGATAAAATCCGTATCTGCGCGAGCCCATGTAATATCCTCTGTATATGGTTGCTATACGAATGACAACGTTTCTAAGTCAACTTTTATTACTACTCCCTCTTACCTTATCTAGCCTTTTCATTGTCATTTCAGCTCGTGCTGCTGCAATCCGTTTCTTTCGACGACGATAACAAAGGAAGACCAAAATAATAACCAAGAGACATACAAAGACCACTATGACTATTACTGCAATGGTCCACTTTGGAAGTTGTCTGGCTAGAGATTTATGATCATAAAAAATGCATGATAAATACAGTTTGTTGATTACTCTATTTCATCAAAATATTTTATTGTTTTAAGACTAAGGACTATGGTCGCCAGAATGGATCGGAATGACCTCCTGCATATAAGATAAAACGTAGATGACCAATCATTGATACATGACGTAYATTATATCAAAACACGACACATTAAAGGTATACGTTCGGAGATAATATAAATGTGGTTCAAATTTCCACTGTTTTTAAGAATCTTTTCCTGATGTTAGCATTTTGTGACGTCATAATGAAACAAGGCAATTTGGTCTGAGATTGCTGTTCCTTTTATTTCCATACCGCCGACCGGTTAGCTCAGTAGGTAGAGCATCGGACTTTAGTGCGGGAGGTCGCAGATTCAAACCTCGGCCGGACCAACACTCAGGGTCTTAAAATAATTGAGGAGAAGTTGCTGCCTTTGTCTTTCTCCATCTGCAAATGGTAAGATCTTCGCGTCCTCTCGGATAACGACGTAATATCGGAGTTCCCGTCTCTCTACACTTCACTCACTAACCTGTATTAGAGGGACGTTAAAGAACCCACACCACTGTTCGCATAAGAGTAGGGAATGATTCCCGGTGTGTGTGGCTAGGCCTTACTACTAACCCATACTAATTACTAACCCCTCATGATTGTAAGCCGCGTGGCTGCCAATTGCGCCTTAAACAGCGGTCCGTGTGAAATGATCTATACATGTGAAGCGCCTTTGAACTCAGAGGATATCGGCGCTATATAAATACCACATATTATTATTATTATTATTATTATTANGCTACACCATGAGCAAGCTTTAACCGATTCATATAATGGAGTTCAAATTCAGGATTCTCTGTTGGATTCTCTCGATGTTCCTTCAAGTAGCTAATTAACGAGCCATGTTGCGCAAATTCCACTAACAGATACAGTTGATCTGAGTAAGAAAATAAGAGTAAATTGACGGTTACTTTTTCCATTAGATGCACAACATTTTGAATAAAGACCTACGTCGGTCCAAGAACCTTTGTATCCTATTCTCAAACACGGAATATCGTCATCTTGGTATGTGAATCACCGAAGTTCATATTTTTGGATTTCAATTAAGATTTTCAATTAAAATGCTTTTGCACATTTTGTGGATTTTCAGTTTTGCGAGGTCTAATCTAGGCCTGTTGAAAAGATTTTAGACCAAATTAATCAGAAAGTAGCTTTTAATGACAGATATTCTTTCAATTCAAACTAAACTACCGCAAAGGTTCTTGGATGCAAGAGGGTCTTTAAGCAATATTAAAGGGCAGTTATGAAAAACCAAGTAAAGTGAAAGATCTTAATCGAATAGATAATGGTAAATGACTGACTATTAAAAAATAAGCGTTAACTGATTTGCTTGAGCAAAAATATTGAAACCTACCTCTGCCTTTTCTCTTGCCAGGTTCTTCGCAGGCACCTATAACGTTGACAAGGTTCTTATGACGTCCAATGTTGACCATGATATCTAGCTCCTGGTATAAATCACGTACGTCTTCATCACTAGCTGTTTCTGTAAGGAAAATTATATATTGAACCAAATTTACGACTTAGAAAAAAACAACAGTTATTTATCATTCTCAGCACACTTATAGCTAGTTCAGTCCCAAACCACGAACTCTTTGCTGAATGTAGTTTAGCTAAACAGAAAGCCAACAAAGTTCTGGATTATAAGAGATTATATGAGATATTTATGCAATTTTTGAAGAAATATGTCCCCTAAAGCAATACTCCTACCCGATTTCTATGTGTACATAAGTTTCTTAAAGGTATTAAAATACCTTTATATGTTTTCACGGCRCAGTCGATAAATTCGTTGTTGTCATTCAGCAGTTGTCCTCTATAAACGACACCAAACTCCCCCGACCCAACCTCGTACAGCAAAGCAAATCTTTCTCTGGAGAAAACTGTGCAGTTTTCAGAAATGGTAAACGAGTTGCCAAGGTTGAAATAGGATTTGGGATATGATTCCTTCATCTGAAGTCGTCAGAGGAAAAAAAGTAGACTTGCTGTTAAAAGAAATTCTTAAAATTTAAAATTACTAAAAAGTATTAAAATATCAATATTATGATATACGGTAATGTAAAACAAAATACATAGATTACGACCTGGAAAGTGGTGCCTGAGAAGAGCAAGGGGAAGACCAAAGACTACTTGGAGAAGATACTGAACGAAAGGGACAACGCAGGATGGAATACTTGCAAAGAAACCGAAATGACAGCAAGAGATAGAGATGGCTGGAAAGGTGGCCTTGTGCGCTTACTGGATAACAATTTCAAGTATACATAAAATATACTTATCATATAAATACCTATATTTCTCCATTTCGATTGATATTTTCACTAGTGAGAATAACATGTTATTTTCACTAGTGAAGATAAAACATTCGAGGTTTCTCTATATAAATCTACTAGTAAGAAAAAAGGTATTTTACGACTTAATTTGCTTTCATATAAAATTATATGATAAATAGAATATTACATGTTCGCTTGGGGATACGGATTTTATCTTCTATCGCTACGCTCACTCGTGAGAGATCTTTTCAAACACTCGAAGATAAAATCCGTATCTCCGCGCGCCCATGTAATATTCTCTGTATATGACTGCTAAAAGAATGACAATGTTTCTAAGTCAACTTTTATTACTACCCCCTCTTACCTTATCTAGCCTTTTCATTGTCATTTCACCTCGTGCTGCTGCAATCCGTTTCTTTCGACGACGATAACAAAGGAAAACCAAAATAATAACCAAGAGAAATACAAAGACCACTATGACTATTACTGCAACGGCCCACTTTGGAAGTTGTTTGCCTAGAGATTTATGATCATGTTTAAGTTACTTCCATTCATTATTTCAAAAATGCATGATAAATACAGTTCGTTGATTACTCTATTTCATCAAAATATTTTATTGTTTTAAGGCTAAGGATAATGGTCGCCAGGATGGATCGGAATGACGTCCTGCATATGATAAACCGTAGATGACCAATCATTGATACATGACGTATATTATATCGGAGATAATATTAATGTGGTCCAAATTTCCACTGTTTTTGAGAATCTTTCCCTGATGTTAGCATTTTGTGACGTCATAATGAAACAAGGCAATTTGGTCGGAGATTGCTGTTCCTTTAGTTTGCATGCTGACTTGATGTCTGGTATGGTTTACTAGTAGGTTGGTTGACAGGTTTATGGATAAAAACTTAGATGGCTTTCAGTATGCTGATTGGCTGGTTGGTAAAAGTTCTTAGCTGACTAGCTAGAAGATTTTGTCATTGTCGCATGCTAACTTGAAATTATTATCTTTATTGACCGACTATTTTCTGAGTCATTAATTCTCATTGTTCTGCGAATTGATTCTCCTATTTAACTAGTTAGCGATAGATAGAGTGTGTTTATCTCATTACATATCTTTTGTTACCTTCTGTTTTGATATCAATTTTATCACTTTCCAACCCTCTTCCATTATCGTTTATTGCTATAACCCTTGCGACATATGATGTTTCTGGTTCAAGGCCTGCAAGCATAATACTATGTACTTATTGACTGAGTGGGAGGGCCGTACGGGAAAATATTTGGCTCGAGGTTATGCCGTACGGACCGAGCGCAGCGAGGTCCGTACAAATGACCGAGAGCCAAATATTTTCCCGTACGGCCCGACCTAACTCAGTCAATAAGCATTTTATCATATGACAGCGTTTTTTAATGTAAAAAAANATAATTGAGGAGAAGTTGCTGCCTTTGTCTTTCTCCATCTGCAAATGGTAAGATCTTCGCGTCCTCTCGGATAACGACGTAATATCGGAGTTCCCGTCTCTCTACACTTCACTCACTAACCTGTATTAGAGGGACGTTAAAAAACCACACCACTGTTCTCATAAGACTAGGGAATGATTCCCAGTGTGTGTGGCTAGGCCTTACTACTAACCCATACTAATTACTAACCCCTCATGATTGTAAGCCGCGTGGCTGCCGGCCAATTGCGCCTTAAACAGCGGCCCGTGTGAAATAATCTATACATGTGAAGCGCCTKTGAACTCAGAGGATATCGGCGCTATATAAATATCACATATTATTATTATTATTATTATATTATGCTGATTTGATGTCTGGTATGGTTGTCTAGTAGGTTGGTTGTCAGGTTTATGGCTAAAAACGTAGATGGCTTTAAGTATGCTGATTGGCTGATTTGTAAAAGTTCTTAGCTGACTAGCTAGAAGATTTTGTCATTGTCGCATGCTAACTTGAAAATTATTCTCTTTAATGACCGACTATTTTCTGATTCATTAATTCTCATTGTTCTGCGAATTGATGCTCTTATTTAACTAATTAGCGATAGATAGAGTGTGTCTATCTCATTACATATATTTTGTTACCTTCTGTTTTGATATCAATTTTATCACTTTCCAACCCTCTTCCATTATCGTTTAYTGCTATAACCCTTGCGACATATGATGTTTCTGGTTCAAGGCCTGCAAGCATAATACAATAAAATACTTCACAGTTCCCCATATTATGCATTTAAGAAATATAAAACGGCGCTCGTGTCTTTGTCGGTGGGAGTTGAAAAACAATAGAGAAGCAAGCTTAGAAACACGAGCGTAGCGAGTGTTTCTCTTGCTTCTCGAGTGCAAGTTAGATATTATTTTTATCATTAACTATTGCTCATTGAACCAACATGGCCGCCTATCTTTTGAATCTTATGCAAATCATTGAAATCGAGCAATACTTAGATTTTTCAAACGTTAAAATAGATTGGACCATAGAATTATTTGTTTCCAGCCTAGCATTTTTGTCATTTTCTTTTTTGACAATTGTGCTCATTAGACCCCTATAATCAATGTTGGGTCTTGATTTGGATGGTTTTGTACTCTGGTAACATGCCCAATGAACACAATTAATTTAGGGGGTTAGGGGAAATGCATTTGTCTGATTGTGTTACTTTAAAAAAAGGAAATTCACATGGTCCAAAAAATATTGCCAATGATTGTAGTTCCTATGCCTTTGTACATGCCTTTGTATGGTTTTATGTTGTAAACTCATGATGTTTATATCTTACGAAGATGAATGAATGAAACTATTTATTCATTACCTGATAATCTGATTGAAATATCCTTAAACGTTTTGGAAGTCTTCTTAGTTGAAGAACCAAACTTCCAGTAATCTATATTGTACCCTTTTATCAAGAAATAAGGAGAGTTCTTGGGACGATCCCATGCTATGTGAGCACCATCTTTAGTTACCCCTAACAATCTGAAGTTTTCTGGCGAAGGCGGTGGAGCTGAAAGAAAATGTACGGACAATATATTGTTAATTGCTCCGTTCTCAGTTTTGAGATTCTTCCTACAAGAGTGTTGTGTGGCGAAGAAAGATTATTTGACGATTTTAAACGCCGAGACCCCTAACCACGAAGTACAGTATCCGCAATTTTTGATTTAATTAATTGGATTCCAGACATGCACCTGGAATCAGAAACCCGAAGTAAAGGATACGGAATCCGATAAAAGAGGAGGAGATGAAGTGAATCGATATTCCAAATTCTAGGATGCTTTAAGTATGGTGATATCCAGAAACCTTACAAAACCTGATCTTTCATTTAACCTGGAATCAGAAACCTTCCCGGCGGAATCAAGGGACACTCTGAATTATTATTATAATACCAATGAATTACTATAATACC